CCGGAGTTACGAATCATCCTCCGCCAGGGCTGACTTGTGCCCGTTTCTACCAATGTTGCCTAATTTTAATCGTCGTTCAAATAACTCTTTATCTTTTCTTTATTCTTGGGACTAGGAAAAGATGAAGAATTAGTTGTACGAAATTAAATTTACATTACAAACAAATAGAATGGTACAAACGGACATTAACCATTCAAAGTGTCCACTTTCAGGGATCTGTATTTTACCGAATGTGTACAACATCTATAGACGTATTCGCATTTTTTTTTGCAGTAGGCGATTTCACTCTTCCTCTTTTTAACGTTTAGATATATATTCGTCTCAGATGCAAAAAAATGCTAGACAAGGCAAATAAAGTAAATAGATTTGTTCTTAGATTTTAATTATATGTTTTGGCATGTTTACTTAATAATGCGCAATTGTATAATAAGGTATAGAAAACAGTAGCGAAATTTTGTTAAATTGTTGAAAAAGAAAATGCCAATTATTAGTACCGCATAAAATAATCAATAGCAATTATTAATTTTAAAAAGCTATGTTAATTTGTTGTTCATTTTTTACTATAGCCCTTATTTTACGCTCCTGATTAGAATCAATAATGAAGGTAATTCCTTAAGAGGTAAAAACTTGACAATGCAGACAATGCGGTTAACGACTGTGGATAACATCTTTGGAAAGAGCAATTATAACAACTGTTGGACATTGTATATGTTTCCTACATTTCCATATATCGGTATATTTATTGTTCAGTAATAAACATTTTTCGAATATCTAAAATAAATAATTGACGAGTTAATGTATATCGATATACAGTATATATTATAGAATATCACACATGCCAATTAAAGATTGATTTATATGATATCAATGCATATCAATATAGATATGTTCAAAATACTACTGAAAACATTAAAAATCATATAATAAACTAAAAAATAAATATTTAAAAGTTGATAAATTTTTTAAAATTATTTAATGAATTATAAAAACGTTTCTTAATTGTAATGTTTATTTAATTATTTTTTTGTATAAAACCGGCATTTTAACATTAAATAATAATATGCGTTTAAACATATATATGCATATTTAACATTGATAACATTTATTTAACGTTTTTATACATCATAAAAATATCTCGACTGAACTTTTTTAAATATAAATTGTCTGCTCAGACGCTATCTTTTTTGAAATCTAATTCTAATATCATAATGAAATTGATATAAATAATCAAGAAATAAATATAGAAATAAATTGAATAAAGATATGTAGTTCTTGAGCTATTGATTAAAAGAATTGTTTCGAATTACGAATTAAGAATTAAAGTGCTTTTTAAGAATATAAGTAGATAATTTCGAGGAGATATAATCAGGATACGAATTTATCAGGGGAATACAGCAGTCCTTAGTTATTTACGTAATGGATATAATTAAATCTCGATCGAAATGTACAGTTTGTCCTACATGGCAAAAAAAATATTTCAATTTCTAATAGCTTCTAATAAATCACTTATCGAGGTGAGCCAATAAACATTAATATCTATCAAGCAGTTTAATGCTACAAAAAAGAAGTATTCCGTCATTAAATACGAGTTGCATAAAGAAGTAAAGCGATTTGCATCTAGCGGAATTCGAAAGAACGAACAATCCGATTTCCTTGAAATATACGATTATCTGTAACCATCGCAAAACGATACATTTCTTGATGCGGAATAGAGAAGAGGGAAGGAAGCGGGATGAGAAGGATGTAAAAAACATCATTTATCTGGAGCAATTTTTTTCACAGAGATCGCAATTTTTTATTACAACATCTTTCTTGCATCGCTTCATAGTGTGAAGTCTACATCAATGATAAAGCATTTTTTTTCGTAAAGTTTCGAGTAATGTATATGCAATTATTATTCATTTACTCCTCCATCCTATTCCCCTCTTATTCCGAATTCTGAATTAGTTGTTGCGAATCCTGTGTTTTTTTTTAAGACTTGCTTTAATTCGCGATTTTTGCAGGTAATTTGTCATTCATTTTTATCATAATTGCGTTGGAGAACAATTTGAATACTACCACGTGTGAAACGTCACTTCGATGTTAAATTTAGCAAGCTTATGTATGTGTAGGTGGATTGAGTGAATAGAAAGAACAAATGGAGGGATTGTAGTCAACCTTGGCATCGCACCTCTCTTGTAACGTAAATCTCTTTGTCACTACCGGATGTTTTAATAAAAATGACGCATGAGAATGTGCTCTCTACAGGAACTGATTAATTCCGTTGCTCCGATTATCTATTTCTTCTCTACA